CCTGCTGCCGACCCGGCTCCAGGCTTGACGTGAGGTGTGGGGCTCAGGCTGGGGGTGCTGATAACCTCCCCGGCTCCTTCTCCCTTTCGGACCCAATGTACACCCAACGCGGTGTTTGCTGAGCCACCTGCTGAGTTTTCGCTCAGCTCCTCGTTTCCTCCCTGATGTACAGGTTTGCATTACTGCTGGTCAGCCCAAAAACTAATTTAGTTAATTGCTTAACTACAAACAAGCATTTCCCTGCTTTCGTGAAGCGTAGCTAATCAGACACTGTTTTCTCGTGTTCCTTGGATTCTCTACATGGGTCAGTACTGTTCCCTCCATTCGTGCACACCTTTATTATGTGGGGGTTTGTGGGATGATGCAGCTTTTGCAGAAGGATGCCCTCCCCTTCTTTCCGTGCAAAACCAAAGCTCTGCTGATGCCTGTTTGGGGAGAAGTCAGTTAAAGCCTGGCTCCGCGTTTTGTCAGCATGAGCCTGTTCAGTATTCACAACACTGTCTTGAAAAAGCTGGCTATACTGCAAGGTCAGTGATGAAAAGGATTGAAGGCAACTTTATCTTAATGCTGCAAGCAGTTAATTAACATCAGTAAATTATTTAGTGCAATTGCCTCCATGGGTCAGCCCCTTTCTCTAAAGAAAGCCTCCGTTAGTTTTGAAATTAAATTGCCTGTTAGGAACAAAGACGCTTGCTTTATTAGTAGAGTCTTGCTAGGTGTCTAATGCTGAAAGCCAGGATTGCATGGAAGATTTTTTTTGTGAAGGAAATAAAATGATCCTTTCAAGCTATTTCAGCTAACACTGCTGCTGTGGGAGATGTCCCCACAGACCCAGGAGATGGTGTGGGTTGGAAGGGACCCACTGGTCCCAGACCACCCGTCCCAGTCTGGCAGTGCTGTGGAAGACTTTGCATCTGCTTGTTGTGCTGGAAGCACTTACACAAAATCCCATCTCACCCAAGTCTCTGGTTTGGACTCGTCGTTTGCAATGCCCAGCTGCTGTCTGGGTCACTCACATGCTTCAAGTGAAGACATACTGAAAGTTAAAAGTCATTATTTAGCTTTACCAGAGCTTTGACTGCAACACAAATCTATACTACGCAGTCATTTCCTGATCATATACAAGTTTATTACAGAAATAGACCTTATAAAAGGTGGGCAGCATAAACATTGACAGCATCAGCTGGGTCTGAAAGATGTGAGGAGAGTTTGAGAGGGAATGAAACGGTGTTGTCTCAGACTTGCAGCTCTCGTTTTGGGCAGCACTTCTGGCTCTGCCACCGACACGCAGTCTGTCGCTTCGTGCTGAACACGGATGTTCGTGCATCTTCTAGGCACTACATGCAGGGAGTGAGGGCTGGATGGGAGAGCAGTCTAGCAGAGGAGGCAGTGGGACGTCTGCGCAACCATCCGGCCCCTCGCTGCTGTATGAGCAGTGCTCGTGCATGGGGGAGCGTTGCTGAGACCCCTCCGCTGCCCGTTGATCCGACTGTTTTGTACCATAGAATGGTTTGCTTGGCAGGGACCTTAAAGATCATCTAGTTCCAAAGATCCTCTAGTGTGTGGCAGTGGTGGCTTTTGGGAGGCACTTGCATGGGGCAGATGAGTGCTCAGAGGCTTTGATAAAGCTAACAAAAAAACCCCATAAAATCCTAATGGAGCAGCGGAGTCCTGCAGTTCTTCCCAGAGAGGCTTTATCCAGAAGCAGCCCCTTTTAAAATAAGCCAAAGCCCCAATTCAATGGCTTCCCTGTTGCAATGAATCCCCAAATGCATTACAGGCGAATATGCCCCATCCACATGCTGAGTGATGCTTTATATAAATAGTTCATATACACTTGCTATATACAAAATATTATGTACATGTGGTGTTACTTTATTTGATGTGAAGCTCCAAGTACCTCTTGTGGTACCTCTTCCAAGATGCTGGGGCAGGAGATCACAGCAGAAGATGCTTTTGGTTGTGCTGCCCAGGGACAGGCAGTAAGGCACTGAGATCTGGGATGAAAAGCCCCTTTTCCAGCAGCCCCCACCGCCCACGGAGCTATTCCTTCAGCAGACCGAGCTTCTTCAGTGCCTCTCGCCGGTTCTCATCGGTCGTGCCCTTGGGGGAAATCTTCACGCTGACACAGGAGCGGGCTGGCCTGGGGAAGCTCTGCAGCGGGTGGGATCGCCGCTTGCTGCTCTTCTCCTGCTCCACCTGCCCAGGCTCCTTCAGACCAGCAAAGTCCTTCCCGGCCCCGAGGGATGCTGGCCGGGGGCGGCTGCTCCGGAGGAAGCTTGGGGGGAGCCGCTCGATGAAGGACATCTTGCCCAAGGAGCTGCTGGTCTTGACGCTCTGCTCCTTGGCATTGGCCATGTAGCTGCTCAGCCCCACACCGGAGCGCTCCAGGGTGTTGGATTTGAAGGTCATCTGCCGGATACCCGGCGCCGACCTCTCTGCTGCCCCACAGCGTGCCTCAGGCTCCCCAGAGACGGGCAATGGCATCTCCCTTGGTTGGGGGTGCGTGGTAGGCTGAAGGTGGGTGCTGGGATCTCTCCTGTCCTGCGACAGTCCAAGCTTCTCCAATGCCTCCCGCCGGGCTTTCTCCCTCTCCTTGGGGTCGAGGTGCCCTGAATTCACCTTTTCGGCAGCAGCGTCGCTGGCAGAGCAGGGCGGAGAGCCAGCCGAGG